CTGCCCAGGATTTCCCAGGCCAGCTAGTCTGGCGTTGGCCACACTGAGGACGTGGATAAAGAGAGTGTCTAGGCACAAACAGTGGGGTGCTAATAGGAAAAGTGAAAGGAATCAAGCGCTTATTTGTGCTCCATGGTCAACAGATGGACAGAACATGCTGGAAGAAGGCCAGGCCTATGACTCTATTTCTGTGAAATACTATAGTAAACCAAGAGCAAAAGAGAAATTGGTTGTTGCCAGGGGTGGGGGATGGGCATGGGAGGTGAGAGAGGAGAAGAAGGGTCAGAGTTAGGGGGTGTAGTGTCTCTCTGGAGTGAGGAAAATGTTTTGTGGAACTAGGTGTGCTGGCTCTATAACCGTGTGAATGTACAAAATACCACAGAATCGTTCGCTTTAGTCTTCTCATTTTTACTTTATTTGTTAAAGATTTATTTATTTAATCTATATGAGTGCTGTATCTGCATGTATGCCAGAGAGGGCATCAGACCCCACCATAGATGGCAGCGAGCCACCGTGTGGGTGCTGGAAATTGAACTCAGGACCTCTAGAAGAGCAGCAGGTGCTCTTAACCACTGAGCCATCTCTCCCACCTCCTCACTTTTACTTTAGAAGTAAATGAAATGATTTATAGTTAGCACAGCTTGTACCAGAGTCTTAGGGAGGATGGAGAAAAGAAACTTGCCGAGATAGAATTGCTAGGATCACATCAGGGCATGTTTCTGAGTACCAACAAAACACTGACTGTATCCAGACCAGAGGATTGACGAAAACCCACACACACCAGGACTGCTGCGGCGTGGGGGTGTGATTCAGTCTGTGTAACTGTCCACATTAAGGTGGGTAATATTGGGTTGTGGAAATCCACATCATTTTAAATGACTATACCAAGAAAAAAGTGTGTGTCGGAAATGTCTTTTAGGTCATCTAGAATTCTCTAAGAAATAAGAAGAGGCGCTATGAGTCTTCTTGCGCCCTCTGCTGGAATTAGGAAGCAACTCACTTTGCTTTCCCTGACCCTAAGTATTACTGCTTCCTATGAGAAATGGCCTGGATGAGTACCCGGTAGGGATTTTTGAGCAGGTCCTTACGTGGGTCCAGACCTACCAGAAGTCAACACAGCCCACCTGCTCTTTTATAGCTTGGATAGAAAACTCTGGGGAGGGTCGTGGGGGTGGGACAGAGCTGAGTGTCCTCAGGAGGAAGTTCTTTTTGCCTCCAGCCACTCTAAGACACACACTCTATTTCTTGTGCTTTGTGGTTATTATCAGAATCCTTGCGCCAAATTCATTGAGAAAAATAACTTTTTGCCTGCATCATAGAAAGCTAGTATGGGTCACAAACCTGGACTTACTTCATACTCAGGTGACACTTAGCATGTTCTTTAACAGAGATAGACCCAGACACCCCTGAGAGTCTTCATCTCACTGAGCACTGACTGCCTAGTCACAGGGAGACTTTCCAGCAGGGGAAAGCGCCCCTGAGGAGCTGAGACTGTAACAGGGTGAACTGTTATCGGAAAAGGTCAAGCAAATGACAGGCCTGTCAAAACTCAGCTGTGGTGTAGTGTTAAGATACTCTAATGATTCCAAGCACTGGGGAGGCAGAGGCTCTTCTCAGCGAGTCCTCTGTGAGTTCAAGACCAGCCTGGGATACATAGTGAGACCCTGTCTCAAACAAGCTAGCAAGCAAACAAAAACAAATGGTTCTGTAATAACGACTTCTGCACTGATATGACCAAATAAAGAACTCAACTATTTTAGAAACAACTTGATGGAGGAAGGATTGATTGGGGCTTGATTGATTGATTGAGGCTGAGGTTCATCACAGAGGGGACGGCATGAGCCCATCACATCGTGGGGACAGAGAAGGGGAAGAAGCCCTTGGTTCTGGGATCTGGTTTGTTTTTCTCATTGACTGTGAGTCAAGAATCTCCAACACAACTAATAAGGCCAGAATTGTCTGTGGCGATGCTATGTTTTCCAGAAGAGACCTTAAACACCCATGTTGAAAGCAGCAGATATAGTTCTTTAAGGCCCGAATGCTTGTAACCTTGTGACTTGGCACTCCCATTGTATCCCTGAGTCAAAGCAATGTGCCTCATGAAACCACCCTCCAGTTTCACTTACAAAAGAAGATTCTCCAAGATAAGGAAAATAAACCAGCCCATGGAATTTTAACTTTTAAACCACATTAAAAAAATGTAAGCCTCACTTGGTCTTCAAACCTTGTTGTAAATTACATCCTTTGAGGAACACCCTTAGAGAGCTATGGGATCATCTATACAGTCATTGCCAGGACACTCAAGCGGAACTTTCTGGGTCTTCCTGTGGCCTCTGGTACCCTCCCTCGTTCTGATACTGTTCTTACTCAGTTACTTTATTTCCCCAGCTAGTCTCCTTCTACCTTCAAGTCTTTAAACAAATATTTATGTATGTATATGTATGTATGGTGTTTTGCTTGCTTGTATGTCTGTGTACATTTATGCAGTACCCATAGCGACTGGAAGAGGGCGCCAGATCCCCTGGAGCTGAAGTTACAGACAGTATGAGGGGCCCTATGGGTGCTGAGAAGGGAAACCAGGTCCTCTGAAGTGCAGTGGGGTCCTTACCCACTCTCGTTAGCCCCCCTTCTCCATCTCTCCAGCCTCCCTTCTAGTTTCATGTCTTTTACTTTTATTTTTATATAGTCAACAGATTTCGTGAGAATTACATGACCATGGGAGCGGCTTCGTTTACAGAAGTGCAGAGGCTTACCAGTGTCTCCACCAAGAAGAAAGAGAAATGGAGAGAGAGAGAGAGAGAGGAAGGGAGGGAGGGAGGGAGGGAGGGAGGGAGGGAAGGAAGAAGGGAGGGAAGGAGAAAGGGAGGGAAGAAGAAAAAGCTGTCCGTCTCTTCCTCTTGTGAGTCCCACTCCTAGGCATGCCATGATGGTGACAGCTGATCTTGAATAGATCTTGTGCACCTAATCACAGCTGCCCTAAGTTCGAGAGTGCACAGGCCGTGTCATACCTGTAGGACAGTGTTCTGTGCCACCATAGCCCTGCTCTCAGGCGCAAACGCTGTTTCTGCCGCTTCTGCCATGATATTCCCTGAGCGCTGGAGACGTTAACATGGATGCTGTTTTCAGGACTGAGAACTCAGTCACGTAGTCTCACTTCCAAGACAAACCGAGTCTCTGAAGCTACTGCTGACCACTGTGAAAAGAGCCTTCTTTGACCAAAGCCGAGAGGTTTTGCCCAAACGGGCAAAACCATAGTTGTTCAGGAGGTAACGGGCAAAAACATAGTTGTTCAGAAGGTAATTTGACGGACACATTATGTCCAGTTAGGAAAACAATAGTAAGGCCTAGGAACTCCACAGCTACAGGCGTGTGTGATAATTGTGGGGAGGGGTGTACACACGCAGGTGACACGACAACTTTTGGGAGTCAGTTCTTTCACCTTGTTTTGGAGGTAGGATCTCTCTTGCCAAGCTATTCCTAGCTAGCAGGCCAGCAAGCTTCTGGGGAAGTCTCTGTGTCTCCCATCTCTCCACAGGGTACTGAATTACAGAAATGTACCCTAGGTTGAGCTTTTTACAGGTCTCCTGGGATTGCCCTTAGGTCATAAGGCTTTCACAGCAAGCACCTTTATCTGCTGAGCCTTCTCCCAGGACCCCAGCCCCAGGCTTTTCGATGGTGAATTCCCTTCTAGCGAATGGGTCTCAGGTCTACCCAGGAAGCAGTTAGTTACCCCCAACTGACTTGCTGCTGTTGTAGTGGCGAGCACATTGCCTGGCCAATCCGATTGTAGAGTACAGCTCAGGAAGCCTGTTGGAGAACGTTCTCCCCAGCAGCCTGCATGACATCTTCTAGTTGTCTCCTATAACTTTTTTTTAAAGATATATATACAACATTCTGCCTCCGTATATGATGGCACATACCAGAAAAGGGCGCCAGATCTCATTACAGATGGCTGTGAGCCACCATGTGGTTGCTGGGAACTTAGGACCTCTGGACCTCTGGAAGAGCAGCAAGTGCTCTTAACCACTGAGCCATCTTTCCAACCCCCCCAGCTGTCTCTTTAAACCAAGCATATGCAACAAATGTTCGCTGACCTAGGATCATCACGAACATAAAATCTAACAGGAGAAAATGCTGTGGAGGGATGCCTGGATTTTATCAATCCAAGGAGCGACCTGGACTAATAAAGGGACACAGCTTTGAAACTGTTGCAGAGGGACATGGAGTCATCCATCAGAAACTCTTCGATCCAAACAACTTTCCCTGGGAAAGCTAACTCTGAGCAGCTGCCTGTCTCAGCCTCTTCATCTCTCTCTGTCTTGAAATAGGAAGAATTTCCTTGCCAAGTTCTAGGGCACAGGACAGAAAGGTAGGATGCTGTGTGGAGGGGCTCGTGTCTGCTCAGGCAGACGCTGGGTACAATCACAGAAAGAACGTTATAACTCCTTCCATGTGACACAGCCCCCATGTAGGGATCACGTCCAGCCTGCTGACTCGCCTGGTAGTTTATCACAGTGCAAGTCCTGTGCCAGGGAAAGGGTTTGGGTTTTGTTTTTCTGTCTGTGGTAGTTTTTTTGTTTGTCGGTTTTTGCCTTTTCCCGATGGTAGTTAGCAGACAACGTCCGGGAGGATCTGGTTGGCTCCGTTGATGCTCAAGAGAGATCAAGGCAAGAACGCTGTCCGCGGAGTCCTTTAATTTAAAACATTTGCGGAGTTTTCAAAGGTCTCATCCTACCTACTGCTAACCACAGCTTCCCTGAAGGCAATAAAGTATGAGAGGGAGGGGAGAAGGACTTAGCCGTGGAAAGGCCCCTGGAGAGGAAGACTAAGAATGGAAGGGTATCTGCTTAGATCATGAAAGAGTTTTTGCCCCTTAATATTTGAATATTTTACAATAACAACATCTTGAAACAAGACTCTTTAGAACATTGATGGTATTTTTTTATTATTTGAGCTACACTATTAAACCTCTGGTCAGCTGGTTTTGGGAATGGAAAAAAAAGGTGACCCCAAACTCAGCCACTCTTGTGGCTCCCATCTCCAGTTCTTTTAATTCTGGCCAAGACAGCGGCCTTGGATACTTTCTTCCGGTCGTAAGCCAGGCCCAGGGCAGCCATGCAGTCAATGAAGAATGTTGTGGAGTTGATGTGCCAGCCATGCTCACTGGCAGCGTAGTCGTAGGGGAAGGTGTGGTGGTAGTTGTGGAAGCCCTCGCCTGGAAGAGAAGCACAGGGAGCAGTTAGGGGGCCCAGAGACTGCCGCCTTCTCCTCTTCACACACCTCTTACCCAGTGGATAAGAGAACATTTTGTTGTTCTTTAGTGAATGGTTAACTCATTGCCTTCTACTCAGAAGCAATGAATTCAGAAGCCCTGGTTGTCCTTAATATTTGAAAGTATGTTGGAAGGAAATGCGTCTTGAAGGCTAATAGGGTAAGATTCTGATTATTCTGGGGAAATATTTTACATTGGAAAGTGCTGGAATGTCAGTATGCTCTGAGATGCTCCTGGCTCCTGAACTGTGTATGTGTTCTCAGGAGGGGAGAGTCCTTTGGAACATCAGTGTCTATGCTTCTTACGAAGGTGAGCAGGCAACAACCCTGTCCCCGTGGGGCTGGTGTACCCGGAAAGTGTAGGCAGAAAAACAGAGAAGCAGAAAAGGCAGAGAAACCGGGGCGCAGCCAAGGTGGGACTTCTCTCAGCCATTGCTAGTCCACACAGTGGCTGCTGTAGCTGCTACTTCTTAGAGCTCTGACCCTGGTGCAGGAGAATGCTCGTAAAATAGACCCTTTTAATAAAGGTTTCTTCTATCATATGATATTTATTTTTTTTCCTGAAGTTTCTGATTTTTGAATGACAATTACTTTTATAGTAAATAAAACTGAATATTTAATAAAATATTTACATAAACATATTGCAAGAGATACAAGCTGTTGGAGCCAGCCTGGCAACCCAAGTTTGATGCAAAGAAGCCATATGCAGGGGGAAGGACAGAAAGGGCAGTACAAAGTTGTCCTCTGATCAGCACACAGGTACTGTGGCAGGGCTACCCGCCCCCATTAGCCACACAGCCATGCTCACTGTAATGACTACTCTTTTTGGGCGGGGGTGGGGGGTGGGAGGGAGGTGGAATCGAGACAAGGTTTCTCTGTGTATCTCTGACTGTCTTGGAGCTCCTTTGTAGACCAGGCTGACCTTGAACTTAGAGATCCTCCTGCCTCTGCCTCTAGAGTGCTGGGGTTAAAGGCATGCAACATGGTGCTCGGCTCGTGATGACTGTTCTTGGTTGTGAAGTTTACTATATCCGGATTTAATTAAAACCCCCAAATGACTGGGTGCACCAGTGTGGGATTTTTTTTGTGTAGCTAAGTCATTTGAAATAGGAGGACCCACTTCTAGTCCCTATCTTTGGTGGGAAGACACACCCCTAACTGTCCTACTTTCTGCTGGAAACCTAGGAAGGGTCATGGAGGAAGGCAATTTCTCTCTCTTTGCGCGCTTGCTCTCACCTTCCCTCACTAGCAAGTCTTTCCCTTCACTGGCCTACTTCTTCAGGCCTCTGGCTGTAAGGAAAACCAGCTGAGACATCTGGGCTGAGCCGCTACTGGATTCTTGGCCTTCCTGTTCACAGGCAGCCTTTGGTAACTAGCTGGACCACAGCCTGTTAGTCCTTTTAACATATATGCATTCTAGAAGTTCTGTTACTCTGGAGAACCTGACTGACACACACACAATCACTCTAATAAAGGTTTTCTGCATAATGTGATACTTAAAACATTTTCCCAAAATTCTTGATTTGGATGAAAATGTATTATTTTTATGACACTGAGGATTTAACTGAACATTTACACAAATATATTACAAGAAATATAAACTGTGACTTCAAGAAACATAAAAATCACTGGGCAGTGGTGGCACGTGCTTTTAATCCCCCTCACTCTGTGAGTTTAAGGCCAGCCTGGTCTACAGAGCTAGTTCCAGCACAGCCAGGGCTACACAGAGAAGCCTCATCTCAAAAAACCAAACCAAACCAAACCAAACCAAACCAAACCAAACCAAAAATCTAACATCCTTTTACAATTTCTATGTATACAGACAAAAATATGTAGGAATAACATCAACATATAAAGTGCTAAATTTTATAGAGAGGACAAAGACAGAATGATTTATCATGAAATATAACAAAACAGATGGAGCCCTTGACTGTGGGGTCTGGATTTAGACATTGTTATTTGGCCCTGGCTGTGATCCAAGCTACCCAGAGGCTGACCAGGAGACAGGAAGTTTAAGTCTGGCTGGGACAAATTAGGAAGACCATATTTCCAAGGTAAAAAAAAAAAAAAAAAAAAAAAAAAAAGAACCAGGCAAATAGCTTATGGGTAAAAGTTCAGCATCAGCCTGAGCTACAGAGTAAGTGCAAGGCCAGCCCCGACTACATAGTGAACTCTTGACTCACAGTGTGGAAAACTGGAAAGAGGGCTTGGGGACATAGCTCAGTGAGGGAGCATTTGCACAAGGCTACATTTATAAGTGTGGTCCAAGTACTTCGGGAGGATCAGGATAAAGGAAGCAGGGAAGAGAGGGAGGAAGAGAGAGAGAAAGCAAAGGGAGAGGAAGGGAAGAAGAAATTGAGACTGGGATGGCAGGAAGCAGGAAAGCAACAGATGAGGTGGGGGAGACACGAGAAGGCATGGAGAGGAAATGCCCAGAGAGAAAAGCAGGGTGCTGGCTGCTGCTTTTAGCAGCCAAGTCCTAAAGCGGCTGGAAACAGACCGTTCACTATATTACATTTGCAGAATTCATCTCAGGCCTCGGGATCCCACTTCTATGACGGTCTAAGAGTTGTAGGCTATAGCTTAAGTAGATAAGATTGACTTAAACTTTGGTGAACGGAAGACCTCACACAAGCAGTGGTGTCCTGAAACCTGGATGGGGGCGGAGGGAGTGGATTAAAGACATTTGGGAGGTGAGCCAACGCTCTGAGAATGGCACACTTCTGCTTGTTTGTTTGTTTGTCATGCATACAGTGTTCTGCCTGCATGTCAGAAGAGAGCACCAGATCTCATTACAGATGACTGTGAGACCATGTGGTTGCTGGGAATTGAACTCAGGACCTCTGGAAGGGCAGCCAGCCCTTAGCCGCTGAGCCATCTCTCCAGCCCCCAAGAATGGCACACTTTTAAGTTCACTAAAAAAAAAAAAAAACATGGTTTTTCCTTTTCTTTATATAGCATGGCTAGGCATGAAACACTAGGTTTATTGTATTCTCCATTGATACTGCTGTTATAGCTATGAATCTCCTGACCCAAGCAGGAGATTCTAGTCCAGCCTAGAGAAATGAATCAGAGATGACTGGAGAAAGGGAAAGTTAACCAGAATCATTTAGAGGTTTTTTTTTGTTTGTTTGTTTGCTTGCTTTTGAGTTGTTTGAGACAGGGTTTCTCTGTGTAACAATCCGACCTGTCCTGGAACTTGCTTTGTAGACCAAGCTGGCCTCAAACTCACTGAGATCCGCCTGCTTCGGCCTCCCAAGTGCTGGGATTAAAGGTGTGCGCCACCATAACCTGGCTTGTTTGTTTTTTGACCTTCCAATCAAAGGTAGTATTTTTTTTAATCCTTTCCTCTTTTACATGAAACATCTTGCCTGACTCTCATGTTCTTCCCAATATCACAACCCCGAGTTTTACAGCGGGAGACGCAAAACACAAGTTACAGAAGATGTCTCGTGCCTTCCTCTCAGCTCACCAAATAAGGAGACGAAATGGAAAAAAAGGAATAAAAAATGAAAAAAAAAAGATACGACTGCTCCTCAGTGTAGTGGAGAAGGAGGTTCACTGTAGATATGTAGGAGAGCCTAGTCAGAGGCAGGGACACCTGGGAGAGTCCATAGGAAGAACAACCTGGTCCCCTGAGCTGGAGAGTTCAGGATAGGGGACAGGGTGTGCCAGCCAGGAGGGCCCTGTAACAAGTAGCGACTGAGAGATACAGGGAGAACCTGGCAGCCATGTCTGCTCTGAAATGCTAAATAGGGACCTCAGCCATTAGTCCCAGGTTCGAAACCTAAGACCCCTGAATGCCATAATGCTGTAGATGGCTTACTCACCCAGCGTTCCCACGGAAACCAGGGGATTCTCCCGGGGGTCAATGTTCTTGTCATAAGGGCGAAAGCCATAGAGATGAGCGGCACTGTTCACCAGCCAGGTGACGTTGAGCGTCAGAGCGTATCTCAGAAAAGTGGCAACATACAGACTGTGTAGGAAAGTTTCACCCCAGCAATACCAGGGCACCAGCGTGGGCAGGATGAAGCACAGCAGCAGGACACCGGATTTGTAGTACCTACAGGGAGAGAGCACACTCAGAGTCTGTGGAGCAAGGATACCTTACCTGGATCAGCTCTTCTCAGTGGGAGGGACTGTTGTCTTCCTCTTACACTGAGTGCAGGGGCTGGGAGCCCCGTCCAGAAAGAACCGTGTGTGTGTGTGTGTGTGTGTGTGTGTGTGTGTGTGTGTGTAAAGTCCTTTCAGTACAGAATATCATTATCATTCTCAAGATAAGTCTACATTGAGCTGAGATTGTCTCAAGATAATTTCACCAGTTGCCCATAGAACAAGGTCCCTACTCTTCTTCTTCGTAGAGGGATGAGGCAGGTCATTCAACAAATCAGGACCAAACCACAGCCTCAGTCTGCGAGGATGCCAGGGCTGGTTTTCATCTGCCCCTAAGCCCCCTTTCTCTCTTTCAGGGTCTTTGACATTTTTCCATTTCCTTCTAACCTCATCCCTCAAATCCTTCACGCTGCAAAAGCTCCAGGAAGCAAGAGTGTCCTCGATCTCCTGTGGGTTCTGCCCCTCTAGAGGCCTTGTCCCAATCTCATTTCCACACAGACCAACCTCTGATTTCCTGAGAGAATTGATTGGCGCCCATTCAGCCGTCAAGTCTTCAATGTTTGGGTCACGGGTGTGACCTGCATCCAGCTTTCCCATTTCTTCCCTAATCCGGGTCCTCTCTAGGCTAACCTGTACCCTCTCCTCACCTCTCAGGCTTCACCTACTTCACCTGGTCTCACCGGACCTCACCTGGTCTCACCTGACCCAACCTTTAAAGCACAGCTATGTCTGCACCACGTGCTTTTGGAAAGACAAGCTGTGTTAACCCCATGCGTGTCTAAAACACTTGGGATGGCATTAGTCTGTTTGAAATGATAATTTGTTTGTTTTTATTCTTTTTTTTGAAACAGGGTCTCACTATGTTGTTCTGGCTGTCCTGGAACTCACTCTGTAGACCACGCTGGCTTCAGACTCACAGAGATTCACTTGCTTCTGCCTGTCAAGTACTAGGACTGAAGACCTACGTGCCACCCCATCTGGCCAATGGACTTTTTCCTTTTTTTTTTTTTAAGATTATTTTTGTTTATGTATATGTGCGCATGTCCGTGTGAGTAAATGCCACATGAACATGTGTGCCTGGGAAGGCTGGAATTGAGTGCCAGGTTCTTTGGAGCTGGAGTTGCAGGTGTAAGCCACCCAATATGAGTGCTGGCATCTGAGCTAGGGTCCTCTGGAAGAACAGGAAGTGCTCTTAACTGCTAAGCCACCTCTTCAGTCCCCAGAGGATCTTTGTTTTTTTGAGACAGTCTCATTAGGTGACTCTGGCTGACCTGGAATTCACACAGTCTGCCTGTGTCTCTCCAACACTGGGATTACAGGCGTGCACCACCACACTTGGCTAAATGATAGCTGTGATCGTATAAACCCAGAAATTCATTCAGCTATTCTAAGTGCAAAGAGAATGTGTCAGTCTTGAAACCCTATTTCCAAGCTCCATCCCTCTCCACTCACCTCCTCTGGAACATGACCAGCTTCTCGGCTTTTAGGTCAGACATGTCCAGTTTTCCGCCCTTCTCTTTGACAGCCGGGTGTTTGCGCACGAGCAGCCAGCCCACGTGAGAGAAGAAAAAGCCACGCCGGGAATTGTGAGGGTCAGCGTGTGTTTCTGTGAACTTGTGGTGGGCGCGGTGATCTCGGGACCATTCATACACGTCATTCTGGAGGGACAGAAAAGGGGACCACCAATATTGAGAAGAGAAGCCCTCCTGGGAGAAGGCAAGGGCCTAGGTGTCTGCCAGGGCCTGGGACTCTCAGTCCAACTCATTATCAGAGTCCCAAGACTCTGATTACTAAGGAGGGCCGGAGGAACACCCTCTCCAGCACGTTTACTCCCAGAGCTTATGTGGAAAAGCCACTCAAAGGCCCAGAGCACATGAATGGCGCTGCTGATTCTCAGGAGTGCGTGGTGGGAAACGGGAGGGGAGTCTTAGTGCCCAGACAGTTTCGCTGGCAGAGAACATGGTGACTCTTCAGACGAGCAACAAGAGACAGGGTTCCTCTGGCGATGTCTGAGTCAGGGGCAGAGAGGTTATGAGGCAGACGGCCTTGGGCTCCAAGATTCTGCTCTGCAGTAAAGGTGCAAAAACTCCACGTCAACTCCTTCACGAGTGGCGTGTCACCCAACCCAAGAGGGCCAACATGTAACTGACAAGCCTGAGCACATTTCCAAACGACCTTGGGACGTTTCTGAACTTTACCCATCTCTTCAAGAACTTTCTCTTAGTTCTCTTTGTCCTCCAAAGACAGAAACTGGGAGCCTTCGCTGAATAAATTGTTAGAGCAGAGGTGACCACACACGTGCATTAAGAACCTCAGATATCAGAGTCAAAATAACTAATCTCTTTCTGAAATCTTTTTCTCATCACCCAAGTCAAGTCCCACACTATTAGCAACAGCCTCTGGCTAGGTGAGTCTGCTTCCCTAACTTCCCACCGTCTACCCACTAGAAACTTCTTGCAGGAAACATCGTCAGTGCTTGACCTACATCCATCATGCTAGCCCTTGACAGGACAATCAGGTTCGCTTATTTGATGGTGTGGTGATTCAGTTTCCTTATCTGCTCAGTGGGTAGGACAATAAGGCCTACCTTCTGGCATGGTTGTGCAGACTAAAGGATTTAACCTGTGCCAAATGCTGGCACGGTGTTCAGCACATGGAACTATAGACATGTTTGCTCTTGCAGTCTGAAACGAGAGTGTTCTTGAGTCTTAGACACATCCCACCTCAATCCCATTCTAGTAGGGTCCTAAGACAGAGAAAAGCATGAGCTTTTGTTGACTGTTTAGGAAGCCATCGTCAGTTTCTTGATGATGGCGTTCTATGGTCCTTTACCCCGAGGACCACAGCAGTCATCCTATGTGACAACCCAAGGAGCTTGGGGTTAAAAGAAAAGGTCTGCCTGGAGAACCCGCTCTACTTCCTTCCTGTTTCCCTTGCCAGTGACGCTGAGGTGTCCCATGTTGCGGAGAGCTCTGCACTTGGGAGGACCACTGAAGACCACTTCTGTGGGTGCCAGTGTTTGCCACTCTGCCCTGGATCAGCCACCGAGTAGAGGCCCAAGAGTGAACAGTACCAGCTTCTCACCTGGAAAGCCATGGTGTTGGCAATAATGAGGAAGACCCTCAGGGGCAGGCGTGCTTTGTAAGTTCGGTGGCTCCACAGGCGATGGGCTCCGGCTCCAATGCCCGTAATACTGACCACGTAGTAGACAAATGCTGCTGGGACAACAGAGGGGTCAGCCTACTGGGAAGTGTGCAAGCAGGAGAAGCATATCAGGACACTCACCTGATACCAGAGTGTGCTTCTCTGGGTTTGAAGGAGCGCATGTGTTGGTCTCCGAGACACCATAGCATCCACCACCTCAGAAAACCATCATCATTACCTCAAACCACCGCACCTAAGACTCAGGGGGAAATCACTCCACCTAGGACTCAAAGGGAAACCATTCCACCTAGGACTCAGGGGGAAATCACTCCACCTAGGACTCAAAGAGAAACCACTCCACCTAGGACTCAGGGGGAAATCACTCCACCTAGGACTCGGGGGGGGGGGAACCACTCCACCTAGGACTCAGTGGGAAACCACTTCACCTAGGACTCGGGGGAAACCACTCCACCTAGCAATGGATGTGAGTTGAGAAGTCCCAGGCACAAAGTGGGCAGAAAGTCAGGATGCTGGAAACACTATCTAGCTTTCACCCTCAGATGGCAGGAGCATTTTCCCAGGTCCTGTGCCCTTTGACCTGAAGATTTTTTTTTTCTTCAAGGGATTCACTACTCCTCCTGACCTAAATACCCACAATCAAGCATCTTTGGAAGATGGCAGTCAGAGCCATTAGTTGAAGGGGAGACACATAGGACACAGAACCTGTTCACTTGCTGAGCTGCAGCATCTCGGCACTGTAGCAGGTCTCAGGGCAAGTCAGGCCTGCACACACATGGACACGAAGGCTTTACCGATCCTTACCATTATAACAGTCAGTGCACATCCTAACGGGTTGGAGTCTACACTACCAAGTGTGAGGTGCCTTGAAGACACCATGGTGAAGCAGCTGTGTCCTCAAGAGCAGACAGAGCTGCCAGGGCTCTGCACTTGGGTACGTCTTGTGGTCAGAGATGTCTCTTGAGTGAGTATGTAGATGAAGTTAAAAGCTCTAAGTGTTTATCCAGGGCCACAGCGCTGGTAGAAGTGGATCCACAGTTTGAGACTAGGTTTTCTACCAAGGCTCTGTTCCAGTTCCAGGCATATTACACATCTCCTAGTAATGTAACACAGCACCCCGACTTAGAACCTACAAGATCAGGAGGTACCTACCATCTAATGGGGAGAGGACACTGGGTGTACCTGTCTGCCCCTCTGATTGTAGCACCAGGACATGGGACTGAGTCCTTGTTAGAAGCAGTATAAGATACCCGAGGGACCTCTGCAAACCATGGAACCTCAGGGGCTACAGAACTGAGCCAAGACTGGAGACACCAAACATTGCTCAAACTGCTATCTGTCCTTCTGCATCAAGAGGTAACCATTTTCTAAGTGGTCTCTTTCCTCCTGCCTTCTGCCTACTGTGTCCCATTCTCTTCCTTCCATAGGATCCCCAGGACAACAGAGACAGCATCTGTCCTCATGGAAAGTGCTGGCCATATTCTTCTGAACTGGGATGAGGCCTCGGATAATCTCCAGCCTCTGGCTGTGTGGTGATTGAGATCTTCCCATATGGAGGATCCGGCTGTACATGTAGCAGAGAAAGCAGGAGAGGACAAGCCCAGAAATCCCAGGAGGAAAGGGAAGGCTTTGGACAGAGCAGGAGGACCAAGACAGTGTCCAAATTTGCCTTGTGCTTCAGATTGTCCAGGTTTGTTGGCTCCACAGACAGTGCTGTCTTCACAGGAAACTGGGGTGGAGTTCCTCATACCCCGAATCATGTCCTTATTCTGCCAATAGCTAAGGTCACAGAGATCCTTTCTCTGTTCCCAGGAGAGAGACTGTAAGTGTCCACACCAGTGAACGGCTTTCCCCTCAGGGGAGGTTTGGGAAGGTTTTGTACTTTGGCTCCCAGTGTTGTCAGAGAGGCCCTTACTCCAGGGGGCCCTACTGAATGGCTCTAAAATGAGAGAAAAACTTTTCCAAGTCCCTGAGCCAGGAAAAATGGCACAAATACAGTCAGTTGTTGATTATGCATTTTCCTTTGGGATAAAACAATAAAAGCCTCTAAAACCTAAAGGAAGGAGAAGATTCCACCTCAGACTTCAATCCCTCTCGTTCCTGAAGAGTTCTGCTAACCCACGTCTCACAGCTGCCGTGCTGCGAGCTAATCTACCAACCAGAGCCCAGGGACATGAGTGAAGTAATTTCCCTTGCAGGTTCGGTGCACCAAATTTCCTTTCCAAAATCATAGCACACACCAGAGGGCACGGTCCAACAAGACAGTAACCACAGTCTTGGCTTTGGATGGTATCTTTTCCCTGAAGTAGCCACTGATGCCAGCCAAGATCAGGCAGTTCGGTCAAACGCAGGCCTGAACTGAACAAGGCTTGTGCAGGGTACTCAGGCTGGAGAGGGAGGAAGCTTGCAGGGAGTCAAACGCTTTGAGGACTCCCCTCACCCCCAGGCCTCCTGGTTCTAATAATGCATCATTGCCTCAGTAGGTAACTAGAAAACCCGGGATCCCAAGAGAGGGGGTTTCCTAAACTGTATTTCCTTGGGACATTGGGTGGATTTCCCAAAACAATGCTTAAGGGCCCGAATCTCACCACCTACAAGATGGAAGAATCCTGGGATAGACAGGGTAAAAACAGCTCCAGTACACAATACATGAGAGAGGAGAGAGAGAGAGAGAGAGAGAGAGAGAGAGAGAGAGAGAGAGAAAATGAAGGGAGGGAGGGAGAGAGAGTTGTCAAAGAGTCCCAAAACCTGACTCTGTTCCCCCAAACTTCCCCGTACTATCTGGGAAAGAAGAGCTGGCTCATCAGCCCTCAGAGAAAGCAAGGGGCCCTGAGTCTGTAGAACTCCTGGAGTCAGGGCTTGTGCAGACCAGAAGCCTTCTTCAAGTCTCCATTCTCTAGCATGCCTGTCCCTGCCCAGGAAGGAGGGGTAGAGGGTAAAGACAGCTGGTATTAGCAGGTGTTAGCCCCATAGCATGTTATGGCTGCAGGAGAGAGGGGCAGCTGCAGGCTGGGTAGAGAATAGATCACAAACCACTTCTGTAACGTAAATACTTGTCAACATTTTGTTGACTGACATGTGCTGTACTCGGAAGACCTGCCTGGGGTAGCAGAGCCATGTGCCTGTACACTTGGGCCTTTGGGGAGCCTGCTTCACCTTCCTCCAGGGCAATCGGCCTGGTCCTGCCAGGGGTTAGGTCTGAATGGTTGTGTGGATAACCCTCCCTCTTTTCTACTTTTCTTCCAATGGCTCCTCCTGTGCAGCCTCTCATGCGTTCCCTAATTGAGCTCACCACCTGAGTTGGTAAGGTCCCTTTTCCTCATGTCCCCTAGGTAGGGCCTGGTTCTCCTGTAGCAGGAAAGGTGGGACTGGCAGTCAAGTACTGATTCACACAGAAAAGCTTATTGGGGCTGGTTGCCTCATTGCCACAGTGGTAGCCTTCAGTGAGTCCTGCACATGGTTTCAGGGCTTGGTCCCCAACACTCACGTTAAAGTGCCCCCAGGGGCTAAGGATATGACACAGTGGTGGAGTACCTGTCTAGTGTGCCCAATGTCCTGTGTTTAATAAAGAACAACATTACCCCAAGTTGCTTTTGCCAGATATTGTAGCTCAGAATATAATCTCAGCAGGCTGAGGCAGGAGAATTACTATGGGTTCAAGGCCAGCCTGGACTGCATAGAGAGTTTAAGGACAGCCTAGGTAACAGAGTGAGATTCTGAAAAATCAACCAACAGAACAGTTGTGGTAATGGACACAGTAGTGCCCGCACTTGGGAAGTGGACCCAGACAATCAGAGACTTAAGGTCCTTGTCTGCTACGGAGCAAGTTCCCAGCCAGCCTGGACTGCATGAATGAGAACCTGTCTTGTTAAAGAGCGAGAAGAAAACAAAACAGAGACGTTTGCTCCCCAGTCCCACTGGGCTGCATTCAGTTAGTTCTATCAAGAACCACAGAGAAAAGCTAGGGGAAGCTGGACCCAAAGGGGCCACTGCCCTTCGCAAGACGCCCTTCATTAGAGGTAGGGGAGAAACTCGAGGCCCTGGCCCAGAACAAAGAAAGGTGCTTACCCCAGAGCAAGGTGTAGAACTTGCTGGAAGGAACCAGCACAAGCCCATACACGGCCCCTAAGTGCAGCAGGGACATGAGGATGATGTTTCTCCAGACGTACTCCAGCTTGGGCAGGGGCCCCTCCTCATCCTTGTAGCTGGGGTCGTATATATCTTCCTTCATTTCAGGACGGATGTCTTCTTCCAGGTAGAGGGGCACCGTCTTTAACTTCTCTCTTCCTTTCTGCATGACTTCAGAGCGGGGAGATATGATGGTCGTGGTGGTTGTACATGAAGAGGTCATCTACAAGGACAGGGAGTGGAGAATTAGAAGGGCAGACTCCAGTAGGCACTCCCCTCTGGCAGGCCGCTGGCAGAAGGGTGCATTAGTGGTCCAGCCCCCATCCCGGTATCTGGCTTGACTAAAGGCTGGTGGGAGAAAAGGTTTGCAGAAAGTGTGCAAATTGGTTGTTGTCAAACCTCCAGGTGAAGGGGCAGTGGGAGAGAAGGACCTCTTATGCCACTGGCAAGCCAAAGAAAGCTCTAATGTACACAGAAAGGCACCAGCAGGACCCGCTTAGCCTTTAAAGCTTGGGAGACAAAAATTGGGAAATCCAAAATGCCATTCACAACTCTACCAGTTGGTGGCAGTACAACCTTGAAAAGACAATAATGGAGGGGTGGTGGCGTAGATCCATCAGGACAGAAGGTTAAGACTGAACTTGGATTCACCGTCTTTGCTCTGGTTCTCCAGAAAAACTCTGTCTAGAAGAAATCCAGGGAAGCAGCTTTTGCTCTGCCTTCCGAGTGTGGACTCTTCAAATAAGACATTATGTAAAGATTTAATTCCTGGGCTTTATTTACACAAAGAGCCACGTGGACCATTTACATGTAGTCTGATGACCAAAGGGTGACCCAGGTTGACTCTTTAGACTATCTCCTCACTTGCCAGGGCAGTTTAATTTTCCCTCTTTAGACAGCTGGATTAGGGCAATATGATGGATTTGCTGTGAAAATTTCTGAAATATGTCAGTTTCTGAAACAGATATAAACAGAATAGAAGTGGGAGCCAAGGTCAGGGCACATTAAATTTGTGTCTGATAACCACGCCCGAGATTCACTTCCGTACACACAGCCTCTTGGTCTTGGTCACTTTCCGTAGAGTGGCATGAGAGCCTATTTTTGTTGTTGGCTTTGAAATAGGGTCCTGCATTGAAGTGCGGGCTAGCTTCAGACTCAGCCTCTAGCTGGAGTCTCCCAACTTCCCAGACTGCAGGCAAGTGTCACCATGACCAACAGAAGTTCATTTTGATTCTGACAGCTTCCTCCCTGGTTTTTGAACAACCATCTCTGAAGACATCACTGACTAACTAGTGGTTTGGTTTTGGCTATTCCATGTTTCCAGATCTGTCTTTGTTGGTTTGATCTGACCTCACACTGGAGAGTGTCCTGATTTGAGGTTGTTGATGATGATGGTGATGATGTCACCTTTATACAAACTAGAGGAAACTCAGTTGATAAAATCCTTCTTCAGATTGCCTATAGAAATCTCTGTAAAGCATTTCCTTGATTAATATGGGAAGGCTCAGCTTACTGTAGGGGCCCCAAGTTTTATAAGAAGCAGGCTGATCAAGTCATGAGGAGCAAGCCGGGACGCTGCGTTCCTCCATGGTCTCTGCTTCAGCTCCTGCCTTCAGGTTCCTGCCTTGACTTTCCTCAGTGATGGAATTTTGGTCTTTTTTTTTCAATCACAGCAATAGAAACCCTAACACAGGGAGTGACAGATATTAAGGAATTAGTGTCAATAAAACCCCCTCTAATGTCAAATTCAAGCAACAAATGATTTAGAATGCTCTTAGGTCAGCCTTAGCTGGAGTTCATCATGTGTGAGTAATATTCTGACATCTTTAAAAAGATACTATTTATATGCTTTTGTTAGAAGTATTGGCTTTGTACAACATCAATAGACAGGAGTCACAAAGTTAGGTCCTGCCTGCCTGTCTGTCTGTCTGTCTGTCTGCTTGTTTTATTTCTGAGACAGACTCTCAGACCAGGTTGGCCTCAGACTCACTATGTAGCCAAGGATAACCTTGAACTTCTAATTTCCCTGCGCCCATCTGCTGAGTGCTGGCATTACAAGGACATACCAATACATCCTGTTGGGGGGTATATAGAATAACAAAATGTTTCTTTAACTAAACTGAATAGACTACCTACATGGCAGATCTTTTTCATCTGAATGTCATCCAGGAAAAACAGAAATAAACAGAAACCCTGGAGTTAAAGACATCGTAGATCAAATTGACCTAACACATCTACAGGATATGCACACACAATCTTTTTCATTAAAAGCAACAAATTCCTTCAGTGGATGTTGTAATCTCTCCTTTTTTAATCTCTAAACTATTAATTTGGATTCTCTCTAATAGTTAATTTTATTAAAAGTCAAACTTGTTAATCTTTTCAAAGAATCAGCTTTTATCTCATTCATTCTTTGTGTTGTGTTTTTTTTTCATTTTTATTTCCTTAATTTTAGCCCTGATTTTGATTATCTCTTCCTATCTTCATTTTTGGGGCATTTGTTCTTGTTTTTCTGAGGCCTTCAGGTATGTTATTAAGTTGTTAATTTATGGGCTCTTGAATTTTTTGATGTAGCCACACAGGTTATAAGCTTTCCTCTTAGGATTGCTTTCATTGTGTCCCATACACTTCGCTATGTTGCGTTTTCACTTTTCATTCACTTCTAGGGTTTTAAAATTTTCCTCTTGGTTTTTATCCTGGGCCCAATTAGCATTCGATAGTGCCTTGCTAGGTCTCCACGAGTGTGTGCTCTCTATTCGATGATAGTGCATTGCTAGGTCTCCACGAGTGTGTGTTCTCTATTCGATGATAGTGCATTGCTAGGTCTCCACGAGTGTGTGTTCTCTATTCGATGATAGTGCATTGCTAGGTCTCCACGAGTGTGTGCTCTCTATTCGATAGTGCATTGCTAGGTCTCCACGAGTGTGTGTTCTCTATTCGATGATAGTGCATTGCTAGGTCTCCACGAGTGTGTGCTCTCTATTGTGCCTACTGCTCTCCACACTCAGTTTCCTTCCATTGCACTCAGATGGAATGCAGGGTGTCGCTTCAACTTTCCTGCATTTGATGAGGCTTCTTTTGTCTCCTAAGATGTAGTTATTTTGGAGACATTTCCATGGGCCGCCGAGAAGATCAAGCGTGTGCATGGTATATCCTGTCTATTTGATTTATGTTTTATTCTATTTTTCTGGATGACCTGTCTACTGGTGAGAGTGGGGTCTTGGAGTGACTCACTATTGCTACGTTGTGGTAACCCAGTGGTTTTTTTTTTTTTTTTTAGATCTAATAGTATTTCTTTTATAACATTGGGTGTTCCTGTGCTTGGTGTATGTATATATGCTTAGGGTTATAATATCCTGTTGGTGGATAATTCCTTTAATGAGTATGAAATTCCCTCCTATTTATACTGGCTAGTTTTGTTTTGAAATCTATTTTGTCAGCTATTAATAGCCATGTCTCCTTGTTTCTTAGTTCCATTTGCTTTGGAATATCTTTTTCCATCCTTTTACACTAAAGTGGTAACTATCATTGATGGTGTGGTGTGGTTCTTGGAGGAAGCAAAAAGATAGATCCTGTTTTTCACTCCCATGTGCTATTTCTGTGTCTCTTAGAGAGTTGGGAACCATGACTATCAGGAACTATGGTTGAGCAGTGTTTATTTCAACCAGAATAGCTAAGAGAAAACCAAACAAAAAATGATGGCAAATGCTGGCCATGGATGGGGGGAAAGGAGGGCACTAACTCACTGCTCGTGGGGGTGCAAACTGGTGCAGCCAGTGCAGGAAGCAGTATGGAAGTTCTGAAGCTAGAAACAGATATAACACACAGTCCAGCTATATCACTCGTGACCATATGCCCCAAAGACTATGTCCTCCTACAAAGACTCATCCGTGTTCTCTGCCACTCTAGTCACAATAGCCTAAAAACCATAGAGTCTAGACATCAACAGATGAGTGGATCATGAAAATGTAGTATATTTACACAATGGAGTATTATTTAGATGTTATGAAGAAGAGAATTATGAAATTTGCAGGTAAATGGATGGAACTGGAAACAATAATTCTGAGTGAGGTGACCCAGATATCCAGATACAGAAGACAAATGTTGCATTTTCTTTCTCTGTCCTTCTCTCTCTCTCTCTCTCTCTCTCTCTCTCTCTCTCTCTCTCTCTCTGGTGTTAGATTCAAATCTTTAGAGATGTGTGCTTCATTTGGAGTATCCACAGAAGTCAGGGAGTTGGGAGGACTCCACAGGGAGGAAGGTAGTCACGGTTAAACAAAGGGGAAAGGAGAGTAATGGGACGGGGCTGGCTGACTCAGTTGGCCCTTCCCAAGCAGCATTCCCGCCTGAGCCAGCTGCCAGGGTAGTGGCCACAGCAGAGCTTGGCAGCCCAGGAGAGAAGGTGGCCAACAGTGGCTGAGCCTAGACAGAGGAGCACATAGCCGAAGGGGAAAATCCTGGCTTCTTTAAATACTACTATTTTTTTTTTAACAACCTGTCCCAAAAACCCAGCAGTTATATGGGCAATTGTATCCACATTGGCAAATCAGACATCTATGGGGATGATGCTGTTTCCTCCAACGACTCGGTCACACCCTTCTGTACCTGTTTTGGGGAACATTTCTCTAATTACCTGAAATCCCAAATGGGTTCCCTTCAATGTATTCAGGGTGGGTTACACCCCTGAGATTTAGAAAGGCTTGAATATGCCACATGGCATATTTCACGTGTGTGACAAGACCCCCCTTATAATGAGACAAATATAATTTGCAAATTAATTGGAACCCATCTCCTGTGTATGGCCTGATTACATCCTCACATCTTACAAGGACTATCTCTAGCTATTCCTTTTCTACTTCTGGGCCTGGTCTTACCATCAGGTAAAACCTTCTGAAAGCCTTACCTTAGCAGCAGCTTTCACCAACCCCAAGACTAAGAATGTCATCAGATAGCATCTGGGACCTATCCCAGAGTTCTCTGCTTTGCTGTTACACACCTCTCTGATATTTCCACCAATGTATTTAGAAAGGGTCTTGATTTACGACTCTTTCTTTCTTTCTTTCTTTCTTTCTTTCTTTCTTTCTTTCTTTCTATCTTTCTTTCTTTTTGCCGAGATAGGGTTTCTCTGTAGTTTGGAGCCTATACTGGAATTAGCTCTTTTTTTTCTTTTTTAATTAATTAATTAACTAACTAACTAATTAATTAATTATATATACAGTAGTC